AGCAGCCATGAGCCCAGATCACTCAGCAAAGACAGACGCCCTCTCCCTGGCATCACTGGCTGGACCCCCAAAAGGTCCAGGAGAGGCCAAGGGTCGGACATACTCGGGGGCTGGCTAACTTACTACCATCCCCACCAGGTAACAACCTAAGGGGCAGAGTCTGCACCTGAAAACCCGAAAAATGTCGCATTCACCTCTCAGAGTAGGGGGGATCTACCCCTGGGAGAGGTGGTATTGAGAACACTGGGCTGGAAGCAGAGGGCCTTGGGTCTTAGTCCCTCCTCTGCCTTAAGACGGGCCTGAACAACTTTGGGCAAAGCACGCAAATGTTTTGGGCCTCTACTTCTCAGTCTGTAAAGTGGGAGTAATAATTCTTATAGACGTCTGTCCAGGGACAGGCTTTGGAAAGACTCCCAGAGCCAGGGGCTGCTCTGTTAGCCCTCCCTGACTTGTCCCTCACCACCTTCCTGTGGACCCCTGCCCTGCCTTCCTGCCATGCTGCCTCCTGCCCCAGAATGTCTGGAGGGTCCTGAACAAGCCTTGGGTGAGCTGCAGAGGCACAGCCAGGTGGTAGCGGTGATTGCCTGGGGTGTGGGCCGGTTCCATGGCCTGGTAAGGGCTTACAGCTGTGCTACTGCAGCGGGTAACCTCAGAGACCTCCCCAGGGGTAGGTGGGGAGGAGAGGCAGGGCCAGGAAAGAATGGTTGGCAAGGTTAGGCCAGGGATGTGGCTCAGAGTTGAGCGTACTTCCCTGCTCCACCCTGTGCATCTGCCCCTGAGCAGGCCGAGAAGCCTTTGGTCTGCAGGCAGGTCGTGGAAACGCCGGGACACGTCAAGTCATTTCACTTCCACTCCCCAGTCTTTGGTCCACTGCCAAAGGCCAGGATTTGGGAAGCTTGGGCTCTGGTCATGGTTCTGTTCCTTGTAGCTTGGAACCTTGGATAAGAAGTCTCGGCTATGAGCGGTGGCTCACGCCTGTAATCCCAGCACTTTGGGAGGCCAAGGCAGGTGGATCACTAGATCAAGAGACCGAGACCATCCCGGTCAACGTGGTGAAAACCTGTCTCTATTAAAAATACAAAAATTAGCTGGGTGAGGTGGCAAGTGCCTATAGTCCCAGCTACTCGAGAGGCTGAGGCAGGAGAATCACTTTGAACCTGGGTGTCGGAGTTTGCAGTGAGCCAAGATTGCGCCACTGCATTCTAGCCTGGTGACAGAGTGAGACTCCGTTTCAAAGGAAAAAAACCCTCTCCTCCCCTCCCCATCCCCCATCTGCTCAAGGCCTCTACTCTGAGGGGGAAGTCAGACCTCTGGTGGGAGGCTACAGTCTCAGCACTTGTTCTCCAAGAATTGGGGAAAGGAAATGAGTTAGTGCTATTAATAGGTTAGACATCAGGAAGAACTTCCAGTAGCATGGGGCAGCAGGCTATGAAGTGCCTAAAGAAGGTTGGTGTGGAATCTCTTATTCTGATGATCCCCAAAGATGAGACGTCTTCTTGATGTCTGGGAGGGTTTGGGGTGAGGGTCAGGGTCAGAGGGTGGAGCAGGGGCCTCACTCTGGATGCTGCTCTCTGGTCTGGGGCTGCCCTTCCACCCTGATGTCCCTGTTGGGACTCAGTTCTCTTCATGGGCAGTTCTCTTTCAGGTCTTGAGGTTCCAGGACTCTCCTCTTGCCCTGGTCTGGGGGGCCAGCCACTTTCCACCTGCCTCCCAGGCTTTGACAGCAGAGTACTCACCTCCACCAAGACCAGGGCTAGATGCCCCCAGACTCAGGGCATGCAGGGCCCCCATCCCATTTTTGGTTGTATCACCCCTTCTGCAGCTCCTGGCTTTCCACCGTGTCCCCTCCCCGCCAGTTCCCTCTCTGGTCTGACTCGCTTCCACTGCTCTAGCTTTGCAGCTTTCCCCAGCTCCCTCCCCACACCTGCCCACCCATTTTCCTCTGGGTCTCTTCATAAGGAGGCAGCCGGGGCTGGATGGCAGGGTCCTGTTCAGCGTGAGCTGCCTGAGAATCAGAAGAGTGTGCTAGAGTTCCTAAAGACCACCAGCTCATTCGGGGGTGAGGTGGGCTCTTGAGTCTCTCTGAGCCCCAGGTCCTCATTCCTGCCCAGCTTGCTAACCGAGGGACTTGTGAGAATCAAACCACATAATGGTGCAAAACTGCACGTGCATGCCCCGAAGAGACACAGGTAGGTCCCGTGGACATTTGTGATACTGTAGGCCAAGACCCTCCTTGCTCCTAGCAGGCCTGGTTAGAATCTGAGCTGTCACTTACCTGGTGTGTGAATTTGGGCATGTTCTTAACCTGCCTGGACCTCTGTTTCAATACCTATAAAATGAGGCTATCTGTACCAACTACAAAGAGCTTTTAAGAGGTTGGAATGGGATCTGGTAAAGTGCTAGTGGGCTGTTATCTTTATCATGTTTTGACACACATTTATAGACCAGGCTCTTTCATGTGTATCACCTATTTAGGGGGGTGAAGGAGGTAAGATCTGCCCGTTTTACACGTGTGGAATCAGGCTCTGAAGGATTATGTCACTTGCCCAGGAAGTGCAGCTGGGAGTGGAGGCAATCATATTCAAACAGATTTTTCCATAGTAAGCCCAACACTCTTACAAACAAACAAAACTCCACTATCAGCTGGGTATGGTGTCTCATGCCTGTAACCCTAGCACTTTGGGAGGCTGAGGCAGGTGGATCATTTGAGGTCAGGAGTTTGAGACCAGCCAGACCAACATGATGAAACCCCATCTTTACTAAAAATACAAAAACTAACCAGGTGTGGTAGTGGGTGCCTGTAATCCCAGCTACTCGGGAGGCTGAGGCAGGAGAATCCCTTGAACCCAGCAGAGGTTGCAGTGAGCCAAGATCATGGCATTGCACTCCAGCCTGAGCAATAGGGGGAGATTCCAGTAGAAGAATTAGCTGGAGCTGGCTCATGCCTGTAATACTAACACTTTGGGAGGCCGAGGCGGGTGGATGACCTGAGCCCTGGAGTTGGAGACCAGCCTGACCAACATGGAGAAACTCCATGTTGGGTGTAGTGGTGCATGTTCTTAACCTGCCTGGATCTCTGTTTCAATACACATTCCATATTGGGTGTGGTGGTGCATGCCTGTAATCCCAGCTACTCTGGAGGCTGAGGCGGAAGAATTGCTTGAACCCAGGAGGTAGAAGTTGCAGTGAGCCAAGATCGTGCCACTGCACTCCAACCTGGGCAACAAGAGCGAAATTCCATCTCAAAAAAAAAAAAAAAGGAAAGAAAGAAAGAAGAAAGAAGGAAGGAAGGAAAGAAAGAAGAAAGAAGGAAAGAAGAAAGAAAGAAAGAAAAAAGTAAAGAAAAATTAGCCAGGCACGGTGGAGCACACCTGTAGTCTCAGCTACTTGGGAGCCTGAGGCAGGAGAATAGCTTTGAACCCGGGAGACGGAGGTTGCAGTGAGCCAAGATCATGCCACTGCACTCCAGCCCGGGTGACAGAGCAAGACTCAAAAATCAGACAAAACCCCATCATCACAGCTGCTGCTCACCACACCCTCACTGTGTGTGGGGCATTTTACAGGTAAGATTTGTGGCTCCAGTACCAGGAAGCAAGGTGCTTCTCTCTAGCTTACAGATAGGAAACTGAGATGTAAAGAGTGAAGTCACTTGCCTGGGGCATCCAGCCACCTTAGAGGCAGGCCAAATTCCAACCTGGTCTCTCCAAGCCGGAGCACCAGAAGACCCACCTGACCCCGCTGCTCCGGACCACTAGGCACCTCCTGGTATTGGCAGGTCATAGGGCCCAACTATGGGTCACACGGGAAAGTACTACAAGACCAAGACCCCTACAGTAACGCCAGGCCCTATTCCCGGGATCCCAAGATGTTCCAGGCCCTGCAGGCCCCGGGGCCCCATTCTTAACCAATCTCACAAAGGCAGAATGAGCACTCTGTATGTGTGGCTCACGAGGACTGTGCCAGGAAGCTCTTCTGACTTAAGACGGGCAGGGGACTCAGAGGCAAATAGGCATGGGGGTAGAACACTGACTCTGTGATTCTGCAAGCTGAGATCTGAGGCTTGGCTTCCCTATCTGTAAAATGGGCTTCCAAGAGTACCAACCTCCCAGGGGTGTGGTGAGCACCTCGTGAGGCCACAGACGTGAAAGTTTATTATAAACTCTAAAGTGCTATATGCACATGAGTGATTAGTATTTTATTGTCCCAGCTTATGGGAATTCCCTCTGAAGTTGGGGAAGACTCAGAGTGTGCACAAAATAGGGAGGGAGATCAGGCAGGCCGGTGGAAATGCCACAATGCCAGCATCCCTGGCAGGGGCTGAGGCCCAGGCCACCACCAGAGGGAAGGGCAGGGTCTTCGGCAGCTGAGGCTTGTCCATGTTACGGAAGGATCTTAGTCTGGCCTTTGTCCAGCATTCTTTTTCTCCCTCTGATGAGCTCATGCTGACTCTCAGCCCCTTCCGGTGGCAGGTCAGGGATTTTCTTAGCTAGTGCTTTTCACACTTTTTGATTACAGCTCATAGTAAGAACAGTATTTTATTATCTAACACACATACATGAAAGAAAAGGATGAGGATGCAGGAGGTGGAAGGGAATGGGGCAGAGGGGTCTTTACTTTCCCCATAACGGACCACATTCCCTTGATCTGAGGTCTCCGAGTGAGTGACCAGCCCAGCAACCTCTTCCTTTGACCCTTCCTACACGTGCGTAGCCTAAGCGGGTGACCCCCAATCCCCGGGCTCATGGCCCATTGCCCTCCACCCAGCTCTGTGAGTCCTATGTGGCAGGGGAGCCCCTAGGGGAGCTGGGAGACAGCAGGGTCTTTGAGCTTTCATTCTATCCTTGGACACAGTCCTTCTCTCAGATGCTTCCTTGAACGGGGGGCTTTGCTCAACCTCTAGCTGCTGCCCCAGAGCATTCATCTCCTAGTGCAGCACAGCTGAGGGCTGGGGTGGGTTGGCAGGGGAGCAGCCTGAGGGATGCTCTTCCATCTGCTTTCAGAATGCATCTCCGGCAAGGACATCTTCAGCCCGGGTGTCTCCAGCCCAGGCACCTCCAGCGGGGACACCTCCGGGCCAGGCATCTCCAGGCCAGGCATCTCCAGCGGGGACACCTCCAGCCCGAGCATCTCCAGCCCGAGCACCTCCAGCTCGGGCATCTCCAGCTCAGGCATCAGCTTCCAGATCCTCATCCAGCAGGTCCTCATCCGCCAGGTCAGCCTCTGTGACAACCTCCCCATCCAGAGTGTACCTTGTTAGAGCAACACCAGTGGGGGCTGTACCCATCCGAACATCTCCTGCCAGGTCAGCACCAGCCACCAGGGCCACCAGGGAGAGCCCAGGTAAGGGGGACGCTGCAGGGAAGGCAAGAGAGATGGGAAGCAGCCCACGGGCAGGGAGTAACTGTCAGAGCCGATGTGATCTGCTCCTCATAGCAGATAACAATTCGTGGGAGGGGAGGTAGCAGGGGTGGGCAGTGAGGGACCTGGGGGGTGAGGGAAAAAGGAAACATATGAAAACCGGAGACAGTGGAAAATTAGGAGCAAAAGAAGCCAGGACCAACGAAAGCATGTCACCTTGGAGTCTGCACAACCCAGATCAGAGCGCTGATTTCAATAGCAAGGTCCTGCGGTTAGTCATAGCATTCTCTCCTTACACCGTCCTGCGTGTCTGCCTAAGAAGCTGGGGTCTGCGGTGGGGCAAGGTCATGATCAGCCGGCCCATCTGTGGGTGGCGGAGGAAAAGGAGAGATTCTGACCAGGCGCATACATCCATCCCCACTCTTCCAAATTGTGGGTTGCATGGTTCGGCTACTAGGGAGTCAGAGAGGTCGAATAGGCCTCGGGGACTGGGTCCGCCCTTAAGGAATCAGTGTTCCTGCCCACCCCAACGCTGCCCTGCTCCCATCCCAGAATTCAGACTGTCTCCACCACCACAGTACACACAGGCCAGTATCATCCAGGATGATACCTGGCTTTGGAGGATCATGTGAAGTTTGGGGCCCATCCCACAGTCCTGCCCTCTCTGGGGCGGGTGAGGTGCTTGGAATTCCTACTCTGCCACTAACTCACCAAGTAACCCTGGGCAAGTGATTTCACTTCCATGACCCTCAGTTTCCCCATCTATAAAATGAGCCTAATAAGACGCTGCTCATGAAGTTGCCGTGAGAATTAAGTGAGAGAACACAGGCAAAGTGCCTGGCTGGCCCAGGAAAGAACAGTAAAAGCCGGCTGCTGGTACCAGGCAGGGTGAGCTCAGTTTCCACATTTTCAGATGGGACAAAATTCATTAAATCATTCTGTTGATTATGTGCCCCATAAAATCTCATTCCAACTTCTGGGGCGGAGTGGTCCTCACAGGGCCCTCCTGGGCCAGCCTTGTTTCCCCTCCCCTCTCCACCTGGTCGGACTCCTCTTCAGCCTCACCTTCCCCTGCTGCCACCCTGCTACCAGGTACCAGCCTGCCCAAGTTCACCTGGCGGGAGGGCCAGAAGCGGCTGCCGCTCATCGGGTGCGTGCTCCTCCTCATCGCCCTGGTGGTGTCGCTCATCATCCTCTGTGAGTTGAATGGAGGGTGCAGGGGTGGGTTCTAGGCACCACCGGCAGAGGGGACCCAGGGATGGGGGCAGGTGGGGGGGACAGGTGTGGGGACCACCCACTCACCTGGCTACTGTGTCCAGAGAGGGACACTCTTGCAAATGGCCTTGGACTGTGCTGCCTCTGGGCCCCTTTGGAGTGTCCAGGTTAAGAGGGTGGAAGTCAGGGTCTGGGCTTGGGTCTCATCTGTGCCACTTACTACGCAGCGTACTTAGGCAAGGTAGTTAACCACCCTGAGCTCAGTTTCTGCACCTTCTGATGAGGCCAAGTTCATTCATTCCTTCCATTGACAATGTGCCCCCTAAGATCTCATTCCAACTTCACTAGATCATAAGGAATAAATAAGACAACAGCACAATTCCTGGAATAAAATCTAAAAAATACTAGCTATTTAAAAACACACATGAAAACACTGATGGAAAAAAACCTGTCAAGGGTATTCAGTCAGTGGGATGATATGCTCAGAGTTCAGGGGTTCAGGCCCCCTCAATCTCCCTGCTGTCTTCAGCAAAGATGCCCAGGACATGTCCCAGAGCTCTCTGCCCAGGTGAGCCCAGCACAGTGGGAAACTTTAGGCATCACAAATGTGCATGTACATTATTCGGTCCTGTCCTCAGGAAGATTACAGTCTCCTGGGGGAATAGCTGGAAATTATGAAGGGCAAATGCATTTGAGTGTGACTGTGAGGAGGGGGTGACAGCTGTGTGGGTGGATGCAGGGGATAGCTCCCTGTGGCTGTGGGACCAGATGAAGACCTGGAAGGTAGGACAGCAATTATGCCCAGCAGGGCATCCACACGGATGAGCAGCCACAGAAAATGTGGGAAGCCAGGTGGCAAGGACAGCATGGGGGAGAGGAAGGGACCTGTCTAACCAGAGTGGAGAAAGCACAATCAGGGACCTGGGGCCATCTGGTTCAGCAAGGCTGGGCCATGGTGTCGAGAGCTTTAAACCCCAGGCCAAAGAGTAGGGATTCTGCTAAAGAGGCAGCACCAGTGGTGGAGGGTGGAGTGGACCAGCACGTGGCAAGGCCTGCAGGCAGGGCTGTTGAAGGGGATTCTGAGGGAGGGGCAGTGTGCTGGCAGAGCAGGAATCAGTGCCACGCAGACCCCGGCTCTGCCACCAACCAGTGGTGGTAATTCGACAAGTCCATTAACATTCTGAGCCTCAGTTTCCCACCTATCTGACCAGATGGTGTGGTCACTGTCACAATGCACATAAAGGCCTCAGCACTGTGCCTGCTGTGACTTGCTGCCCTGCCACCCCTCCCTTTCCCACCACAGGGCACACTGCTCCATGAAAGCCATGGGAATGACCCATGGAGGGGTGAGATGGCACATACCGGTGGGCTCACAGAATAGAACTAAAGCTCTTGGCGTAGTTTCACAGCATTTCCTGAAGTCCCCAACAGCTCTGCCAGGGAGGCCTCTAGACTTCCAGGGCTAGGGAGGTGGCTTGACTCGTGCTAGTCACTGAGCAGCCACATAGCCCAGGCCTCCCGACTTCCCACCCAGCCCAGTGCCCTCTCCACTACACATCCACGTGGGGCCCCGAGAGCACTCCAAGGGGGACTGCCCAGGGTTCCCCAGGGGTTCAGAGCCCAGGGTGTGGGAGGAGGGACCAGCCCAAGAGATTAGGAAGGATTTGTGTCTGGGCCTGGAAGGAGCAGTCACACACAGGCAGCCTTTATTCTGGGTGACGGAGAGCACAGTAGGCCCTGGAGGAAAAGCAAAGCATGGGGCTGAGGAGCTGGTGGAGGAGGAGGGGCACCCGAGACTGTGAGGCAGCCAAGGAGAGGTGCCTCCAGGCAGGAGGGCCCACAGCCCCTGGTTTGGAAAGAGATTGCTGCTGGAGAGGGAGGAAATCGTGAAGCAGATTTGCACATATGGCTTGTAAAGCTGTTTCTTTTAGCCCCAACTTGTCTATGTGGGAATCGGCCACCTCGAATTGCTCATTGAATGAGAAGACATTTAAAGGCGTCAAGACAAGTCATGGGGAAAGAACTGAGCACAGGGGTGTCCCTCGTGCAGGGGAGAGAGAGAAGAAAAAAACCCAGAAGCTTCTGAGGCTGGAAGGATGGTCGCCTTTGAGAGCAGACAGACAGTGGTTGCATGTGTGACCGTGAGGACAGAAATTTATCTGCTGTGCCCCTGCGGAGCACAGAGAACATGGGATGGCAGAGGGGTTCTGAGAGGGAGGCTCTGGGATACTGGAGGAATTGGTTTCTTTGGCCACTACGTTGGCCAGCACGCAGGAAGGGGAGTTCCCAAGGTAATCCGCATCTCCACAGCACTCTCTCTCCCTCTTTCTCTGTCTCTGGGTCGCTGGCTGCTCTAGTCTGTCCGGTGCTGCCTGCTTGAAGGAGCTTTCTGGAGCATTCCGGAGCATTCCTAAGCAGCCTTTCTCTCCATACAGATGGGGGACAAGAGCCCCAGAGTTCAAGAGGGATTGCAGGTCGGTGTCTCAGAACCCCCAGGGCCTTGGGCTGCTCTGTGTCTCATCCCCGTGGGGCTGGCTGTGACCCAACTGTCTGCTTCTTCTTCTCCAGTCCGCTTCTGGCGGGGCCACACAGGGATCAGGTATAAGGAGCAGAGGGAGAGCTGTCCCAAGCATGCTGTTCGCTGTGACGGGGTAGTGGACTGCAAGCTGAAGAGTGATGAGCTGGGCTGCGGTAAGGGGGCTGGGCACGGGGGAGCACGTGCATGTGCGTGTGTGTGCGTGTGTGTGTGTGCATGTGTGTATCTGTGTGTGTGTGCATGTCTGTGTGTATACGTGTGTACACATGCCTATATATGTGTGTGTGCACACGTGTGTGTGTGTTTGCGTGTGTGTGCGTGTATGCAATCCAGACCCATCAATTCCCTGTCCATTGGCTCCCATTTGAGCTGATACACAGTTTGTACCCGTCTGTAGCACTCCGGTGACTTTGCCTCGGCTCTCTCCATGGTGGGCGTCCTGGGCTTCTGAGTACTGGTTGACCACCAGGGCTCAGACCACGGTCCTGCACTCTGCCCAGACCTCAGCAAGGAGTGCTGTCAGGACAGGAGCTTCTCAGAGCCTGACTCAGCTCATCCCCCAGGGGCTTGATGCTTTCTAGCTACTGAGGACCTGCTCTGCCTTTTTTTTCGCCCTGCAGTGAGGTTTGACTGGGACAAGTCTCTGCTTAAAATCTACTCTGGGTCCTCCCATCAGTGGCTTCCCATCTGTAGCAGCAACTGGAATGACTCCTACTCAGAGAAGACCTGCCAGCAGCTGGGCTTCGAGAGGTAACCCCTAACTCTGCCCCAGGGTCTAGGCTTCAGGTTCTTTGCAAGGTGTCTCAGCATGTTGCAGAAATGTCATGTTAAAAAGACCCGTGGGGACTGGGGCTGATCTCACTAGCTTCAGACACCCTCCAGGTATTCAGAGTCAGGGTCCCTGAGATCCTATGGGTCCAGAGCAAATTGTTTTCATGAGGTCAAAATACCGATGTATAGATCTACAATAGAATCAGATTCCCAGATGGTTCTTCGCATCAAAGCACCCTCACTTCCATGATCACATCCGGTGATCGTGGTTGTGGTCTTTCGACTTGGGGAGGCATGTGGGCAGGTCTTTTCTTCTTATCTCTGGGACTGGAAGCTCAGGTTGTGCAAAGCCCTTCAATGGACATTGAGCTATAGCTATTGTGGCTTGAGCCAGACCTCATCAAATGGAGAATGAAATGGGGCAGGTGAGGCCAGGCAAAATCCGAAGGATCTTTGGCTTTAAAGAATTTAAACCAATCAGGCAATGGTAGTAGGTGAGCATTGACCTTCCGCTTGAAGGAATGTCTGTTTTTCAGCCCAGGCACGCATCTCCATCCTTCCTCTTGCACTGAGTTTTCAAGCTAGGTCGTGGTGCAGTTTGTCGGTGTGTGCGAGGTTGTGACTAGAAGAGTTTAAGATCTCACTGTGGGTTCTCTACAGAAGCAGCACTGAAAACACCCGGGATGGGGGGTTAGGATTTAGAACTAGTTCTCTACCCCGCCTCAGCCTATCCAGACCCAAGAATGCGAGATCAGAGCGATTCAAATGAAAGACCATGGACATCTTTTATCCATGAGTTGTGTGGCCTTATGCAAGCCTGAACTTCCCTTGGGCATTCAGGTGTTTGAATGTCATTTACTCAAAGAGCATTCATTGAGCTTTTATTATGTGCCAGAAACTGTGTAATACCTGGACACAAAGGAATAAGACAGGAACTCCCGCCTTGAAGCACCTCTAGTGTGGCTCAGTGAGAGAGGCTTGAACCAGTAACCACAGCACGATGTGAGGTGTACGATGAGAACCTGTGTGAAGCACTAACGGTACATAATGGAGAGGGCTCCTGACTGCACTGGAGGAGAGAGCGGATCACGGAGGGATGGGCCCTCTGGGTAGAGGAGCAGCAGAGCAAAGCGTCAGGCCAGACTGTCACGCGGGGGTGTACCATGTTCTGGAAATATACGTAAATTCCATGCAGAGAGTAGAACACATTAGAATCACCTGCCATGCTTACGAAAATGCACCTCGGAATCAGAATCTCTGGGATTAGGACTTATGAACCTGCTCAGCAAACTGCCCAAGGTGATTCTTAGGCACACCGTGGTCTGAGATCCAGTGGGCTTGCCCAGAGCTGCCCACGCTGTAATGTACAGATCAGTAATCTGGGATTCTTTTAAAACGCAGATTCAGATTCAATAGGCCAGGGGCAATGCCGCTGCTGCTTGTTCACAGATCGCAGTTTGGATAGAAAAGGGCTAGATTGGTGTTTCTCAAACTTGAGCGTGCACCTGTATCACTAGAGAACCTGTTCAAACAACGATCGCTGACCCACACCCAAGCTTCTGATTCAGGAGCATTGCTAATCTTAGTAACTGCCCAGGTAATGCTAATGCTAGCAGTCTACACTGTGAGAAATGCTGGGTAGTGCATAGGGCTGGGAGTCTTGGGGGGTAGTTGGGGGCAATGGGGGCAGTAGTGGAATATGTGGGAGGGGCTGCATTTTGTTGGGCCTGGACTGCTGCCTGGAGTTGGCCACCATTCGGACCATCACCGTCTGGCCTCTGTCAGCAGAGCTGGTGGGGCTCTAGGCCTGCTTGGGGTGAGTCTGTCTCCAGGGGGCTGACTCTTCTCCAGGGGGCTGACTCTTCTCCGTTCTCCTCCTTCGTAGTGCTTACCGGACAATGGAGGTTGCCCACAGGGATTTTGCCAACAGCTTCTCAATCTCAAGATACAACTCCACCATCCAGGAAAGCCTCCACAGGTATGGTGGGCAGGCAGGCTGTCGGTTTGTGAGCAGGGGAAGGAGTGGGTGGGAGGGGGTCTTTGAGTTAGGGAACCCCCTTCACTGTCTTTTCTAGGATCCAGCCCCCAGGAGTCCACTGTGGGTGTTCAGGGACATCTCAGAAATAGTCCTTATTCACCAAACTGCCTCCTGACTTAAACATTCTTATCTGAAGCTCAGTGCTGAGAGCAACTAGAGACCAGGGGCGCCCCTGGGAGTTCACCTGGTCATCAGAGGCAATTCATGAACCTTGGGACCGCCAGTTGGCCAGGTGTTTGGACTGAGAGCCGCAAGGAGTGCACCTGGACTGGGGAGGGAGAAGCGTCACTGGGGTTGGGGACAGGGTAGAGGGGCAGCAGTAGGGGACTGCCAGGTGTAGGCATCAGGGATGGGGAGGGCCATGTGGGAAGCACTGGAGGTTTGGGGGTGTCCTGCCAGCTAGCACTGTTTACCCTGCAGAGGGGAGAGAGGCCAGTCTCCAAAAGGAGTCATGATGAGGGAAGGGACGTGAATTCGCTGCCCCTGGAGGCCTGCTCTGCTGGGTGGTTTCTGCATCTGCACTGAGGAACTATGTCAGAGGAGCACCAGGCCATCTGCTCAGTTGTGAAAAGATGCTGGGACAATGAAGTCCTAAGTTCAAAGAACGTGGATCTGGGCCAATGCCTGCAATCTGTCACAAGAAAGCTAGTAGTGGGGATGAGAGTGGAGATGATTCGCGCTAAGCCACTCCCATTCGGAGAAAGCACTAGAAGGGAGAATGTCCTACTGGGAAGGAGAAGCTTAGAATCTCCTTCTTCCTGTAAAAAGGGTAGCTTCCTTGGAAACGGATGGGAACTGAGCAGGAGTCAATCAGGAAGGCTTTCTGGAGGAGGTGGCTAATGTGCCCTTTTCCTGCTTTCTGTGTCTCCCCCTGCAGGTCGGAATGCCCTTCCCAGCGGTATATCTCTCTCCAGTGTTCCCGTAAGATGCTCTTCTTCTTGGATTGTGGCCAGTGTCATGTAGGAGTAAAGGGCAGAGGGGCAGGACCCCTCCAAGGGAGATATTTGGCAGTGGGGTTCAAGTCAGGAGCAGTGTCTTAGCCAGCAGGCCTGCTTCAGGGCTGGAGTCCCTGTAAGGCACTGGTGCAGCCCAGGATAACATTTCCCCTACTTCTGACTGGTAAGGGCTCAGCCCAGCAACCTCTTATTCCAAGGAAGCTGCCTGAGTCTCCCGTGCAACAGGGGAAGTGTATTCCTCCTAAGTTTAGAAAGAATAGAGACCCCTATTACAATGCTTGTCAATTCAGGGTTATGTTAGAACTGGTCTGCATTCCTGTGCTCCTAATGGCAGTCCTGACACTTACCATCGTAACCCCAGTGCCTGGCACAGTGCCCAAAGCTTGGGACAATGAGAAAGCATTTGCCAAATCAATGAAAGAATGAATGAAGGGGAAGAAAGAGGAACCTGCCTGGGGTCAAACTTCCCACTGAATGATCCCAGAAAGCCACCCCACCATGTGGTGGCTCTGCTGTCACAGGAACTGCTGCAGCGTAGCAGATGAGGGAGCAAAGTCCATCCAGGGGAGGGTGGGTGCCTTTCAGGAAGGGGCTGCCTGAGCCTGTCCTGGCCCTGGGAGCATGGCAGAGGCATCCTGATCAGGAACTCGGGAAGAACCCTGGGAGAAGCAGGGTTCGTGGTACATCTACTTCTTTCCCACAGACTGTGGACTGAGGGCCATGACCGGGCGGATCGTGGGAGGGGCACTGGCCTCGGAGAGCAAGTGGCCTTGGCAAGTGAGTCTGCACTTCGGCACCACCCACATCTGTGGAGGCACGCTCATTGACGCCCAGTGGGTGCTCACTGCCGCCCACTGCTTCTTTGTGTAAGTGCCTGAGAAGCAGGTGATTTGACACTGCCCAGGGTTGGGGACCGCGAGGAAGGGCAGACTGCTGGCTGATGTCTCTGGGTGTGAATCCAGCCCCCATGGGACAGTTGACACTGTGTGGTTTGGGCGTTCACTTGGTCCTGAGTGTGTGGGTTGTGGGCGTTTGTTCTGAGCTAGGCCCAAGGATGAGAAAGTCCCACTGACGGCCCCGAGAGAGAGAGAGAGAGAGAGGCAGGCAGGAAGAGGGACTGAGGGCCTGCCCCTGAAGAACAGGGTGAAATGAAAAAAGACTGTGGGTTTGCTGCTGCTTCCTGCAACTGAAACTCATAGCAGGGGAGGTCAAGTTATCCCAGAAACTGGGGGCTAGGGATTGCAAGGAGTGTACTGTATCCGCTTCGAGTAGTCACCAGTTGGCTTAGTGTCTTTGGGGACCCACAGCCCAGGCTGGTGGGCAGCAAACAGCTCTGAGACCAGGCCTCAGGGGCACTGGCCTCCCTAGTAATGAATCTTCAGTGTGTCACTTTGTCCCGTCTGAATTTGCTGAGGATAATAATACTGAGATCTTATCAGTACAAGCCCTTGACCCTGTTGGGTGAGTGAATCTGTGCCTCCTACCCCCAGCTCCAGCACCCTCTGCAGCACTCAGGCTTGTCAGCATGTCAGTTCCTATCGAGGCCCCAGAGCTTCAGCATGACAGAAGTCAAAGGCTCTTGTTTGATCCTTGGTGGCTTGCAGAGGAGATAGTGGGGGGTGAGTGCCACACAGAGGTCTTACCCATCCTTTCCTCTTTATTACTCTAAGGTGCAGAGTTGCAAGCTCATAAGTTTTGGAGGGCTTGGGCGATTGCTTTGGACTCCAGGGATAAGATGGAGGGAGTCCTCCAGAGGTCATTTTATCCATGCTCCTGCCTCCAAGCTGGTCCTCTGGCAATGGCTCTTATAGGCAGCAGAGGCTGCCAGTGAATGCTGCCAGGCAGGTCCTGGACCACACTCCTTGGTGGCTCTTGCAGGACCCGGGAGAAGATCCTAGAGGGCTGGAAGGTGTACGCGGGCACCAGCAACCTGCACCAGCTGCCTAAGGCAGCCTCCATAGCCGAGATCATCATCAACAGCAACTACACCGATGAGCAGGACGACTATGACATTGCCCTGATGCGGCTATCCAAGCCCCTGCCCCTGTCCGGTGAGCAAATCTGCACTCCCCCCACCTCTGCCCCAGCCCCAGCACCCTCTGCAGCCCTTGATCTTGTCAGCATCTGTTAACTCACATCCGGCCCCCAAAGCTTCAGCATGGCAGAAGTCAAAGACTCTTAAAGATCTCTATCTGGAGCACTTCTGTTTTATAATTGGGGAAACTGACACCCAAGGGTTATAAATAAGTTTGCTCCAAATGACACGTCTCACATTACAAATCGATGACAGAGCCAGGGCTTAGATACTGATCTTAATCAATAGATCGAATTCTTTCACTGGTATTAACTGAGCACCTAGGGGCCAAACACTGTGGGAGGCATTTTACACATGTGATTTCATTTACTCTTCACAACCAACCCTGTGGAGCAGGTAAATGTTATTATCTTCATTTGACATGTGAGGAAATGGAGCTTTACGGAGAGATAATTACCCAAGGCCACAAGTGATAGGTGGTAGCTCCAGGATTAGAACTAGGTCCATCTGATTCTCAAGCAATGCTCTCCCAAGCCAGCTCTGGGCTGGCAAATTGCTCACCCTGCAGTCGAGAACATAAGCTGAGTACACTTTTTTTTTTGGAGACTGAGTTTCGCTCATTACCCAGGCTGGAGTACAATTGCGTGATCTTGGCTCACCGCAACCTCTGCCTCCTGGGTTCAGGCAATTCTCCCGCCTCAGCCTCCTGAGTAGCTGGGACTACAGGTGTGCACCACCATGCCCAGCTACTTTTTGTATTTTTAGTAGAGACGGGGTTTCACCATGTTGACCAGGATGGTCTCGATCTCTTGACCTCATGATCCACCTGCCTCAGCCTCCCAAAGTGCTGGGATTATAGGCGTGAGCCGCCGCGCCCAGCTACTGAGTACACTTTCAAACAACTAATTGCTACGATGTTGCTGCTAAGGACCAAATGAGGCTACACAAAGGGAATGCTGCAGAGGTTCTCAAAAGATCACTGCGAACAGGGGATGTCAAAGAAGATTTCATTCATTCATTCATTCATCCATTCACTCATTTGTTCACTTATCAAATACTATGTGCCTACTATATGGTCAGCCCTATAGCACAGTGGCAAATAGAAATAAAACAGGTGACATACACCAAGACGACCAGTAGAGGCCAATTATGCGATGTTTTGGGGGAGCTGGAGCTATGGTGGCATAGGCGGGAGCAGCTAATCATCCTGGCAGACTAGGGGAAGCTCAGCAGATAGCCAAGGTGGGTCCCGAGAGGACTGGAGGAGACAAGGAAAGGGGGCTCAGGCAGGACCCTGAAGAATGGAGCCAGAGCTCTCTGGCATAAGCGGTCATATAGGTGGGAAAGGGAAAAGGAATGCCGGGATTTCCGGAAGCCTTGGAGGACTTTGGTTAGCCCAGCCATTCTCGAGCTCTGAGCCTGTGAGCTGGTGTTTCCTTGCCCATTAATTATGGAGGCAGGTGTCTATCATGAGGCAGAGGAGTTAGATCATCAGAGTGGAGTGAGGAGGAGGATCCCTGGGAAGAGCTCGGATGGACAGCGCGGGCCAAGAACCATGCCCACGCAGCGTCGCACCCACTCGCAGCCACGCCCCCACACGACATGCCTACCAGCCCTTCGGCAACTCCAGCCTTGTCTGTGGAGCCCAGGGCTGAGGTGAGGGCTGCCCGCTGCTTCCTGCCCTGCCGCTCAGCATGCAAGAAGGGCACAGCCTGCAGGACCAGAGCAGGCCTTCTCACCTTGTCAAACCCAGGCTGCATTTGGCTAAACATCCACATCTTACTTCTCCCCCACCCCCCACCCCTTAATGTTATTTGGAATTCCAAAACAAATTACGTAATTCCTAAAACCAAATGAAGGCTATTCGCACATTGCATATGCTTTTCAAACGTAGTAGTCTCTCTCCTGACTGATAGGCTTTTGGGCAGGAAGCAGGTCCTTAGTCTGAGAATCACAGCTCAGATATATGTAGTCCTGTGGCCAGAACATGTGTCTTGATTTTTCGTTTAGAAATCAGGACAGATTTTCTTAAACTCATTTGGCAGGTGGAGCACTTAGAAGTCACAGTACTTTCGCTTGTGAAAATTCGCTGATAAATTTAATTCCCCCATAGAAAACAGTGACGACCCATAACAATGGATCATAAAACAGTGTTAACCTGTTTTTAAAACTTTACATCTCAAAAAGGGACGTAGGAAAGAAATCTTATTTCGCATTTTTGTTAATAATGCATGCTATCCCTTCATCTATTTTTTGTGTACTCTGTAGCAGACCAAAAAGTGGGGTAGACACCAATGTTTAAAGCCTAATTCCAATGTATGAGAGAAGAATTTAAAATCATCTTTCCCATGTACGCTTCCTGCCTTCTCTCTCTCTCTTTAAACATTTATTGAGCACTTAATATGTGAGAGACGTTATCTTAGGTGCAGAATACTGCAGTGAATATAATAAATGGTTGAGAATACTGCAAACATCCTATCAACTGATATTTTCCCCTTGCAAACTGGGGTTTTTTGTCAATGCCCTGGTCCACCTAGGGACACCAGTCCTCAGAGCTTATGAAGTGATACGTAATGGCAACTTCTGAACATAATATTTCTGAGTATGGGACCAAGTTAGCAGGGATTTTGTGGTCTGTGTCTCTAGGAATGTGTTTCCTGTTTGGTGAGATTTCTTACCTTGTCCTGGGCAAATATTTGGAGGGAGAGCCACAGGCCCTGGGCAACCCGTGGGTACCCTCGCCAGACCAGGCTGGACAGACCACTGAGATGCCACAGTCATAATATGTGCGCCTTAGCCTGCTGCTATTCCTTGCTCTAATGGAAAGACATGGAAGAGGCTCCATCAGGAGAGACTCTCGGTGGAGAGAGACCCTCAGCTGCCCAGTAGCAGCTTGTACAAGGGAACTTGCAAAGCTTCCGCATCTGCCCACAGGGAAACCACTGAAATGAGAATGGCTTTGAGGACTCTGGTAGCCTCCGAAGGCTGGTGGGTTATGATAAATTGATCAAGTTTTGTGTCTGGTCAGTCTAAGGCTCTGGAGGATTTGGAACCACTCCAGAGGCAAGGATTCATGTTCTAGGAGCCCCCTCCTTGGCCCCAGAGTGGTTCTGCCCCTGCTTCCTTCCCCCACTGAAAGTCTCAGCCTTGTTCCTTGAGTGACATCTGGAGGTCTTGTTGCAGCTCACATCCACCCTGCCTGCCTCCCCATGCATGGACAGACCTTTAGTCTCAATGAGACCTGCTGGATCACAGGCTTTGGAAAGACCAGGGAGACAGATGGTAAGAGGCAAAGCTGTTTGGTTGCATGTGTGTGTTCATGTGCAAGTGCATGTATACATGTGTGTATGTGTGTAAGCAATGTGTCTGGGTGTACAGATGAGGGCCTATGTGGATGAGTTTGGGTATACAGATTCGTGGGCTTGGGTGTGAATGTGTGTGCATATAGACACCGGTGTGTATGCCAGTGCAGTCACTGTGACACTGCCCTCCATCAAGACCACCTGGAAAACTGTTGTAGTTGAATTCACCACTCATTGCAATGAGAGAGAGAGAACACACCATGGAGAGTCATGGAGCCTCTCCACAAGAGGGTGTCAGAGGGGCCTGCTCATAGGATTTGGGTGGCTTGGGGAGGGCTCAAAGATGCAGGACTTTTGTCTAAATTGGATGGTGTCAGGAAGCAGGGGACACCTGCTTCCTCTATGATTGGGAACCTTAATAATCTTATCTAAGGTCCGGTGGCTCACACCTGTAGTCCCAGCACTTTGGGAGGCCGAGGTGGGCAGATCGCTTGAGCCTAGGAGTTCAAGACTAGCCTGGGCAACATGACGAAATCCCATCTCTACAAAAAATAGAAAAATTAGGTGGGCATGGTGGTGTGCGCCTGTAGTCCCAGCCACGAGAGTGGCTGATGCAGGGGGATCATCTGAGCCTAGGGAGGTCGAGGCTACAGTGAGCCATGATCGTGCCACTATACTCTAGCCTGGGCGACAGAGTGAACCCTATCTCAATTAAAAAAATTCTTATCTAGAAGCTCTAAGAGGTAAGGAAGCAGCAGTTACTCATATTGGCCAGGAGAGGGGGCTGTTTGGTAGTGTTGTGGTTTTGCACAGTGACCTTGGTTTTGTCTGGCCTTAAACATGAAGTGGTCTTGTTTTCAAGTTATCCCAATCACAGAGCGCCTTGTCCTGTGAGATTGCTTACTTTGAGAAGGATGACCCCGCTGTTAGACTCAGGCCACGTCCACACATCAGGACTGCTTTTCCCTCCCTCCATGAGGCAGAGTGATACTGATCTGGGCACAGCCTTCTCGTCTTGACTCCATACCTGACTACCTGTGTGACTGTGGACAGGTCACATCTCCAGCCCCAGGCTTCCCCACCTGTAAATGGATTAATGTCACCTGCTCTATTTAGGGCACATAACTTCCAAAAATAAACAAAGCGATATGTCTGAGGGTGCTTTGAATGTAGGCAAGTGCTGGGCAATGTCAGGAAGCCTGATAGGCTTGTGAGTTTGTCTGTGTACATGGATGTCTCTGTCTCACATGCAGTGAGCTGTGTCTTGTGTGAGGGTATGTGTGCCCATATGCCCTGGGTGTCCAACCACAGAGGACTTCCTTTGGGTCAGAGCCAGACACAGGCATGACACCCTCCATTCCCAGGAGGCTGTGAATCTGGGTCTTGGGGTGGCAGCTGGAAGGCCAGGAAGCTATCCAGAATCTCACTGGCTTCTCATCCTCTGTCTCCTCCACCCCCACTTCCCTGAAGACAAGACATCCCCCTTTCTCCGGGAGGTGCAGGTCAACCTCATTGACTTCAAGAGATGCAATGACTACTTGGTCTATGACAGTTACCTTACCCCAAGGATGATGTGTGCTGGGGACCTTCGTGGGGGCAGAGACTCCTGCCAGGTGAGGGTGCCTGTGGGTGGGGCTCATGACGCAGGACCCTGGAGATGGAGGAGGCTGAGGTGTTGGGGCTGGGGTGGGAGTTCGGACCCCAGCCTTTCCTCCTCACAGACCACGTGTCCCATCCTGCGCATGGGTCCCCTCTCCCCTGTAGGGAGACAGCGGGGGACCTCTTGTCTGCGAGCAGAACAACCGCTGGTACCTGGCAGGTGTCACCAGCTGGGGCACAGGCTGTGGCCAGAGAAACAAACCTGGTGTGTACACCAAAGTGACAGAAGTTCTTCCCTGGATTTACAGCAAGATGGAGGTAAGAGCCCTGCACCAGGACACTGCCCCCAGCAGCCTGGGGACTTTCTAACGGGGGACTCTGGAAGAGCACTCAGGCTTTCCCTGGGGTGTAGGCAAAGGTCCGCTCAGCATCCCACACTTAGGGCTGTTCGGGGCAGGGGCAGATGTGACGCCTGGGGTCCATCCCAGCTGCCTGTGCTTCTCTTCCGAGGGTGGCAAAGGGTGGGCCTGCAGGTCGGGCAGGCAGTTGCTGAGCAGATGTTCTCCCAGAAGTACTTTTTTTTTTTGAGACGGAGTTTCACTCTCGTTACCCAGGCTGGAGTGCAATGGTGCGATCTCGGCTCACCGCAACCTCCGCCTCCTGGGTTCAGGCAATTCTCCTGCCTCAGCCTCCTGAGTAGCTGGGATTACAGGCACGCGCCACCATGCCCAGCTAATTTTTTGTATTTTTAGTAGAGACGGGGTTTCACCATGTTGACCAGGATGGTCTCGATCTCTTGACCTCGTGATCCACCCACCTCGGCCTCCCAAAGTGCTGGGATTATAGGCTTGAGCCACCGCGCCCGGCCCAGAAGTACTTTTTTTGTGTGTAGGTTTGCAATGGATGTTGAAAAAGTTTCAGGGTCTGCAGGGGATTTTGCGATAGTTGTTGCTATCAAGCACGTATGCATGAGAACTCGCTCTTCATGGGCTTTCCCAGCTCTATTTGTTGGAGTCTTTTGGGGTTTTGTTGTTGTTGTCGTTGTCATTTTTTAAAAACACAAGTGACTTCATTTTGACTGACAAGTTTCACAGCTGTCACCAGAATGCTCCCCAAGAACTACAATTCTTCCCCTTTCCCACTTAAAGTATTTCTACAGCACCTCACTGCTATCATAAAAGAGTATCAAGTAATAAAATAAAAAGTTATTTTGTATTGTTTGACTAGCTTTAACTGGTATCCAGCCTCAGAAGTCATTGCTCAGGTCAAACTGAACCACCAACTCTTCAGTTTGTGCCTTGCCTTGCCCTTGGCCTTTGAAATCCTTTATCCACCCTACAGAGTCCCCTCTCCCACTCCTACCCTCTCATCTGCCATTTTTCTTACCGAAGAACTCTGACTAATCTCTCAAAATCAGCCACTTACAATGCCTGGAATATACTTGGCATTTACTGTTTATTGTTATAAATGGAGGATGAATGAATAAACAAATGCAAAGAATAAAAGGTGACCTCACCTCCGTGCCGGCCCCAGTGCTACTCTCCTGTCCCCAAGGATGGCCGAGGTGTGAGCTCACACAGGCCGTTGGTGGTGGAGTGACAGGAGGCCTCCCTCCATGGCAGGAATTTGGGTGTCAGAAAACAGGGATCTGCCTGCAACTCTGCTGACCCAGTTGAGACCCTGCCTTCTCTGGGCCTTCAGCCTTTAGCTGTAAAACAGGGGGTCCTCTGCAGTCTTCCCATTCTCTGCCAGGGGCACCAGGGAGACCTCGGATGGGGGAGCAGGGAAGACTTCAGAAATCCAGGGCAGAGAGGCCCTCTGAGCTTGCCCCCATCCTTTCCCTCTGCTGTCCTTCCACAGACAGGCAGTGCCAGGTGACAGCTGGGCAAAATGACAGGCTCTGAATCCCAACCTTGGGCTTCTGAGCTCCCTGCCCAGCTGGCCCACCCTCACCCTCTTCTCCTGTTCTCTTTCTCAGAACGAGGTACGCTTTGGAAAATCCTAACCAGCTGGCCTGCTGCTCCACACAGCACTGGCGGCTGTGAAGACTCTGGCCACAGTGACTGGCCATGCGTGACATCATCTGAGCTAATGGTCACCAGGCACCGTTGGACTCCCTCCTTCACTGTCAGCTGCCTCTGTGTGTGTGTGTGTGTGTGTGTGTGTGTGTGTGTGTGTGTTTGTGCATATGTGTGCATTGCTACTCTCCCAAGTTTTTCAGAAACCAGCAGAGCTGTCAACTCTTCTAGAAATTCCAGGCTGGAAATTACCTGGAGACAAGAGCTTGAGCACCGCAGACGTTCCTACAGGGGTGTCCATAGATGGATGGAGGAGGTGAAGCCCAGAGCCCAAGGAAGGGCCTGAAATTCTGGCTTCTTTGACCCTCACTTACAGACTAGCCCAGTGCGGGCAGATGCCAGTGGCCCAGGTGACACCATTGCTGTCCCAAGATGGAGCGCAGGTTTTGGTGGATGTAGCTTCCCAGCGCCTGGACCGTCTTGGGTGGAAAGTCGCTCCCATGGGCGTTACGAGCATTGAGCCCTCATCCAGACCTGCTGCTGGTGCCCTGTATGTCACCAGTTGGGCTGTGCTATGGCTAACCCGGCTGACATCTGAGAAGAGGATTCACTGTACTCATTTGATCACAAGCTGCTGGGTCGGGTTTTATTTTAATTTATTTTTATATTTAAGAAATGAAAATACAGGTATTTTGAAAGATTTGCGAAAAAGTCCAGAGCCTTGACAGCATCAATCAGCCCAAGACCCCCAGGGGACTCATGGGAAATGTCGTATTTTAGAGTCCTACAGAATATTTCTGACCTCAAGGCACTGGATGAAGAAACTGGACAAAGTCCTCAGGATGGACATGTCCCAAATCACTACAGCATCTGGAGCCCCTGGGAGATACTCAGGGAAACAAATCCTCATTTGGGCTGGTGAGCAAATCCAACATGACGAGGTCCACTGTTACTGCATCCACGGGTTCTGACGAAGACATGAAGAAATGGATGCTGGTCCTGTGCAGGCTCCCAGGGGCCCCGGAGAGGTCCGGGGGGACAGCATCTCTTGTTCCCAGGGGCTGTCCTGGGACTTTGCAGAAACCAGCAGAGCTGTCAACTCTTCTCCAAATCCCAGGCTGGAAATTACCTGGAGACAAGAGCTTTCTTCTCAGCATTCTCCACCTTTCTGTTTCCCAGTTGTTCCAGAAAGTTAGCACTGATATAAAAACTGCCATGGAGAGAAAGCTAACATGGTCCCCAGACAGCCTTCTGAAGGATCCAATTGGCCCTGCTCCTGCAAATCATCTATGTGCCCGGACTCACCAGCTAAAAGAGCGGGCCTTCCCCAGCCTTTTCTCTGAGGCACCTATTCCTCCACCAACCCTGCTCCTCTCACCTTCCTGGGGCCCATCGGGGGCTTTTGTGGTGCTGTGCTTCTCAGACGTGGGATCCAAGCAGATCAGCCCAGCCCAGCCCAGCTCAGGCAGGCCGTGGCCGCTCAGGGGAAAGACTGCCGCAGAAGAGCAGGCTGGAGAGCCGGACAGGGGCTGATGGGGCTGCGTACACTGGGGAATGTTACCAAGGCTGGGAAGGAGGCCACATTCCTGTCTGCAGCAGTCCCTAGTGATGGTCTGCAGCAATAAAAGTTGTGTGACCTGAGGCATCTGTCTTTGGATGTTTTACTGGTACAAATTGAGGTTGCCTACCCTGATGCCCAGACATTCTCAGTTTTGGTTCTTAGTTTTGGTTCCTCGTCTTTGGGTTCTGCTCTTTTAGCCATACATTCATGTATTCATCCATTCACCAACCACATCCGTGCCCACTCTGTGCCGGGTACTCATACTAGGCCCAGAAGTTACAGAGGGCATGACAGCATTCTCAAGGAACCGGGTCATGACCCAGTGTGATGGAAACTGTGATTGAATGTGGACACCATGCTCGGAACATGCACAAAACAACCACGAGCCACACCTAGAGACGTCAGGGAAGCTTTACAGAGGAGGTCAGGTTTGGAATGAACCTTCGCAAAGCAGGTGGGGTCAGAGGAAGGGCACTCCAGGGCATGTTCCCACCCTCTTCCTCTTCTTCCACTTCTGCCTTTGCTAGCTCACCAACAGGTATATTGACAAGGAAGCCCCAAAGCTTACTCAGCTATTTCCAAGAAAATGGAAAATGGTGGTCCCACTGGCCTCTGAATGATCTACCCCTTCTTGAGCTGCACTTTTCCTGCATTGACTATATTGACCTTAACCATTACTAGCCCACTGGTGGATCCCCAGCTCCATCCTGGAACCCCAAGTAACCAGTGGGCTCATAATCCCCAGCATGCCAGCCACAAGCACAGAATTCTCCAGATTTCCCCACGTGCATCCAGCCTCTGGACACCTAGAACTTGATTGCTTTAGTCTTTCATGTCAATGCCAGGGAAAGCTCTTCTTTTGATTCCTTTCTTGCTTCATCTATGCCAGAAAGAATGGGGGAGATGGCAGGTGCCATATTCCTAGGAGGGGTGACACTGACTTTAATAGATCCCACAGTTTCTCACAATTTCATCTGAACCCAATTGAAATTTATTTCACATCCACATTAACAGTCCAGTAAGGGTGTTCTGATCAGAGGGCGGTTTTCCTCCACATGCTTTTTCCATCTTGGAAGCTTGTCATCATCCACATTGTTATCTACTTCTAACCAGAAAGAAAACATAAAAAAAGGCTCATTCACTCCTTAAGCGTTGTGGCCCAGAAGCCATTTTCACTCACGTTTTCTTGGTGCAAACATGTCCTACGTGCCGTGTGGCACCACCTAGACAAAGTTGGGCTGGGAAAGGCAGTCTTTGGCTGATTCCCCTGCAAGAGCCAGTGCCCATTTCAGAGGATGACCAGTCATCTCCATTCACCGTAGGAGCTGGCTGCATCCCCAGAAGCCCAGCCTGGGCAGAGAGTTAGGGCTTAGGCCATTTCTGTTCCTTTCCCCTTAGAAAGCAGACACTTTCCCTTCTCTCTCAGGGGATTCTTCTTAGGACATAAATTGCTTGGCAGGGTTGTAGGGGTATGGGAGGGGGACAGGGAAATAAGGTAGAGGAAAAGCAGGATCTATATGGGAAAAGAAAAATACATTTCTTTGGCTCAGGATATCTATAGAGGCTGCCAAAATTATGGATGGAGGGGGGTGATGGGTTATTCTAAACTGGCCCAGAATCTCCAGGGAGCTACGTGTGTTTTGGGCAGGCAGGGGGTTGCAGTGACATTGTCCTATGTCCCTGGAGCCCAGAGACCTCCAAGTACCAGCCACACCTTCTGTCTTTGTCAACTCTTGACTGCTGAATTTCCATAGAATTTTCCTGGGAAAGGAGCACCAAGTGAGTGTGCTGGGAGGGAGGAGGGGGAGACTGTTGGGAGTGATGATGGCTCTTTGCAGAAGGAGCCACTTACAGCCTAGCAGGTGCTCCAGCTGCCTCTGGGCTTTGGTTAGATTCCAAGGGGCCATTGTTCCCCATAATCACTTAGCTGAGGTCCTGATGCAATTGAGTGGACATGGGGACGCACATGTGAATTCCCTACGATGGTCATGATGAGGATAACGATAATAATAGCCAGCATTTGCTGAACGTTTGCTATGTGCCACATGCTATGCTGGACACCTGATGTATATTATCTCCTGTGAGCACAAGAATCCCATGAAGTGGGCATTGTCATTATCCCTATTTTATAGGCGAGGAAACAAAGGCCAAGAGAAGTGAAATAAGCATCCCAAACTACAGGACAGCTGCATGGCAGAGGTGGATTTGAATCCAGGCTCTGACATTCAGCTGCTTTTTTACACTTTGCCCAGTGCTGCTTTCCAGAGTCAGGTGGAGTCCTCCCAGCTGGAACCTCATAGGCTCTGCCATTTGGCTCTGCATATCTTTCCAAGAGTGACAGGGTGAGACAACTCCCCAGAGAAGGCTGGGCACACCCATCAGAGTGCCACATGATCAGAGGCTTAGACTATGCGAACATTGGATGAGTAGGAGGATGCCCTCCCCACCCCCGTTCCAAGTGGATGGTTTCTAGGAGGCCCTGTCAAGTCACAACAAGCTGTCACCCTGGACACCTCCAAGTCTCTCCCAGATGTAGATGGATGGCTCTGAGAGGAACATGCCATTCATTCTCCATCTCCTGCGCACTGGCCCAGGCTTCCTGTCTCTGGGAAGGCTGCCACTCAGTCCAGGAAGTAAACGCTGTACCTCTCTTACAATGGGTCCTCCCAGAGAACAGGGAGGACTGTGCTCAGGAGATAAACAGCCCTGGGCCTTCTGGGGCAGGAGGCCTTGTTAGATGAGACCTCTCTCTGAGAAAGGTGAGGGCATGGCCTGGTCTATGGTCCTTTACAGCTCACTCCTTCCCATGGGACATGGGAGCCAGACATAACAGGCGGCCTTCTCTGTCCAAGCCCTGAGCCCCAGAAAAGGTTCTTTACTTTTCATACAAGGAAGGAGCTGGGAATCTGCTTTGAATAATTCCTTCTAATTACACTGTGCTGTAGTGGAGGGAGCTCTGGAGTTGGAATCGAAGTACCTGGAGGTGCAAATTCCAGCTCTACTTACTTAGCTGTGTGGTCTTAGACAAACCGTCTTCTCTGTTTCTTCATATGCAAAATGAGTGTATCTAGCCTACATTTGTTGTGAGATTAAAGGGGACTATCCATGTAAACATGCAGGGCAAAGTGACTGGCACATTGTGACCTCTCTGCAGATGTTGAATTCGCAGCAAAAGGGTCAGATCCTTCACCCCCAAATCCTTCATCAAACATATGACATAGGAGAGAGAATTTTGGATAAATCTTCAGGTCCTAGGAAATTTGCCATGTCTCTCCATAAACTTTGTTCCTAGGCTTTTAGCAATGAGTTGATTCTCCACAGAGGTGACGCTGCCACCAAGGCCACGCCAGGTGGACATTCCCAGCTGGTGGTTCTTCTAAGTCACGGAGCACCATGACTTAAAGGAGCTCACCCCACTCTCTCTTATCACTGATGGGGCCAGGAAAGCTGCCCATCCCTGGACGAATTCTCCTCTGGGAGATGGTAATGTCCTGCCCTGGCAACCTCTGACTTCTCAGCCAATGGAGTCAGGCAACTCAGGGCTGCGAAGGGCATTCATCTTCAGCCCCCATGACTCCTCAGTCCACAGCCATCTCCTGCCCCATCATACCAGGGTCTGGGAGACACTTCTTAGTCTTCATCTTCCTGAAACTCTTGCAGCATCTAACCATCGAATGCACCCTACTTTATGACATTGCCATGACTTCTGAGATATGGACTTCTCCCAGGTCCCCTTCCTGCCCTCTGGCTGCTCTTTCCCAGTCTTCCACAGGTTCCGAAATGGTGTTCCCAGGAGACACCCCCAGCTCTCTTCTTTTCTCTTGGTAAATGGTAAATGCTTACCCTGGGCCATCTCATCTGTTCCCAGGGGTTCCAACATACATCTGTGGAGCCAGCAGGAATTTGCTCCATGTTACTAAGGAGTAAAAAATATCAACTTTCTTTTTAAAATCTGACTTTCATCTGCTGCAGCCTGGCTGAAAAAACATCCCTTGTCATCTTCTTCTCCAGGAGAGCTTCTTGCTTGTCGCTCTCCAGGCTGGATACTGTCTCCGCAAACCTCGTGGGTACCCCTCAGAGTACTGTACAGGTAAAGGGCATAGTTCTCGGTGCCCTCACTCTCCGGGACCTCACTGTTACTGAGTCAGACTAAGGCTGCTCCCCTATCTTCAACCCTCAAATCTTTTTCCCCTAGCAGGTAGTTCAGGCCTGTCTCTTTTACAAACAGTGCACAAAGGCTTGTAAATTCTCTATGGGATCAAATCCATTCCTTCCTGATAAGATCATGACAGAAATCAGAATGAGTATAGAATTCAGTAATTGTGTACACATTTCCATGTGAAGGTAAGTTTTCATTCCTCTAGGCTAAATTACTATAGGTGGGATTATTGGATCCTCTGGTAATTGTATGTTTAACTTTGTAGAAACAAACCTGCCAGGCTTTTTCTAGAGTGGTTGTACAATTTTTCATTCCTACCAACAATATAAGCATTTTGTCTGTTCCGCAATCCCCCCAGTATTGCCAGTATTTCTTTTTGTAGCCATTCTAATAGATGCAACAAGATACAATGCTATCTCTTTGTGGTTTTCATTTGAATTTCCTGATAATCAATAAAGTTGAGGATCTTTTTATGTATTTGTTTGCCATCTGCATATCCTCTTTGGTGTTGTGGCTGTTCAAATATTTTACCCACTTCTTTATTGGGTTGTTTCTTACTGCTAAGTTTTTAGAGTTCTTCATATATTCTGGCTGTATAAATCACATATCAAGTCTTTGCTGGAGATGTGATTCACAAATATTTTCTCACTGTGTGGCTTGTCTTTTCATTCTCTTAATTGTGTCCTTAACAGAACAGACATTTTTCATTTGGTAAAATCCAACTTACCAAATTTTTCTTTTTAGATTGTGCTTTTGCTGTTACATCTAAGAACTCTTTGCCAAATCCAAGCTCATGAAAATTTTCTTTGATACTTTTCCTTAAGAATTTTATTGTTTTGTGTTTTACATTTGGGCCTGTGATCCACTTTGAGTTAATCTTTGAATGCTTTTGAGGGCCAGATTAAGGTTTATTTTTATTTG